GGAAGAAGTTGAGTGCCAGGGTGAGTTTCGACGATTCATTAGTTCGTCCTACCAGCAGCGTATTGACACACATGTGCTACAGTCGATGGCAAATTTTCGACCGTCATCAACGACAGGGTTCCATAACCCAGAACTCACACCACCCACCAGCGCTGACGAGGCGCTTCCGCCTGTTCCAGGGTCGCCATCATCGCCGCCGGGAGCAGCGCAGCCTGCCGTTCAGGATAAGGAAGGGCTTCCACAACAAGAGACCCAGCCGCGAACAGCACGTAAGAAGAAGAGCTTTGTGGCTACCATTTTCGGTCGATCAGGTAGTGTAAAGAGGCCGGGCCATCGCTCCTCGTTGCCGGTAATTCGTGATTCAAGCTGAGAGATGGTGGGAGAGGTGTGGGCGGTTAGATACTACATCCACAGGTATACCTAGAGGGAAATCTCGGAGAGCATCACAGAGGACACGGTATAAGCATAGCATTGGACTTTTTGGACGATGGTACTCTTCTAGTATAGTAGTTTTGAAAGTTGAACCGAGGACTTTTTTGAAAATACATGGGAAAATCCATGAAGGCTGTGAACACAAAAAAAAGATAGGTATCGCAGGTCTAAACAGGCCTGCCATGATGCCCGGTAGACTTTGAAAGGTAGTCGACAGAGCTCACAAGATAGTCGATAGCTCTTCGAGATGCTTTGATAGGCATATCCACTATTCTTTTCAGACCGTTTGACTGCCGTTTGATGCATCTGTGCAGCTGCTGAACGAATGAAGTAGATGTGCCAAGAAATACTTGAGCTTCTGGGCGATTGATATCAAGATCTCTCCAGGTCGGCGCAGGCGCTAAACTTCGGGAGCGGGGTTTATGTAATCGCGCTGGGCAGCACCCCGCAGTAGGTAGCCCGCTTCGGTGAGTGTCCCTCACCTGAACCCCCCTTTTAAATGGCCATTGGCGCCCTGGACTGAACACCCATGGGCTCCGAGACAGCAAATTGAAATTGCACAAAGCACAGCACAGCCTTGCCTTATCGATACTCTTTCTTTTTCTCCTGATACAATCCATGGCATAGCGAGAGCCTGGGAGTAAACATTCCCACCACCTGAGATCTACTTGCGAGGTTTGAGACGACCTGAGCTCGCCATAATCTGGAGCTGCTCGAGAGCGAGCTGAGGGCGCTTCACCTGCGGGGTTGATTCAACAAAGCAAAGCGTTATTGATTGAACTTCGCCGACAGGTATAATCACACCAACTCAATTGGAGACCAGAACATATACATTTTCGCCCAACGGCGAGTTTAATACCACGCCCAGTCACACAGAGACACCGGTGAGTCGAGCATCCCAGGCTCATGATGAGATATCATCTTATTCGTCAGACCCGAGCCTGCTCACCTACAGTTAACTAACTTTGACGCCACAGCCTTGACCTATCTCAGTCTTTTGCAGTTGATCCTCAGGTTCAGCACGCCATCTTCACTACTGGTGCCTAAAATTTGACGAATTGATCTTCTGGAGGAACTGGGGTGCCAAAGGGAAGGCCGAGCATCTCCCATCACATATCCCGACATGGAGGTAAGGGCAAACATTATTTCATCCTCACAGCCTCCGTCATCACAGCACATACACAGCACAGCATCTTACAACACAAGTCACGACCCCTGCAAGCGCCGGGTCTTGCTTTATTCTTTCTCCGAGGACTTTTCCCCTTGAGATGACTGCTTCGTTGCGCAGCTAGCCCTTTCCCATCACCGAGTTACACAGGGGTTCGTCTTTCTGTTTCGTTGGCCTAGCTTTGTTCTAGAAGCACATCCAGCACCGTTGGGGGCGTTTTCCAAGTTTTGGCGATTTTTTCCGTCTGTTCCCCTTTTACCGCCGCAACCAACAATTTACCCCTGGACCCTTGGACCCCTGGACGCGGACACCGCCGGTCTGGTTCTTTGCTTCTTCACTCACCTCCAATCCTCCGCTCTCTCCAACCAAACAGTGACGCCTCTTCGTCATCTTTGGCAGGCAAGTGTCACACCAGCCTCGCAGCACGGCCGGATGGACGGATGAGCGGGGACGGACGGTCAGGCAGGCAGGCAGACGGCCAGGCAAAGGCAAGATACAGGCGGCAGAAATCTCGGGTGTCAAACATTGAAAGAAATGTCTTTTCGGCGAGTGAGTTACTCAAAGATCTCTCTAGCTGTATGTTGCCCCTGTCGTCACTGGATAACCACTCGAGTTGACCTATTCGGCCGAGCCACTGGATCCAACTCATTGGAATCGGGAGGTGCCTGTGCAACCATAAGATTTAGTCGGCTTGGGACTGCGCCGGTTCTTGGTCTGTTATGCTTGCGATTATATGCTGTCATGCCTCCCTCTTACCTAGTTGAGCATTATAAGGGTTTTCCCTGACCGCAACTTTGCCTCTTTCCGTCAGTGCGGTAGTCGCTTTCTCTCAACCCCTCGGATCCCTCTCCCTCTTTTTTTTTCTCTGTCAGACTGGAACACAGAAACACAGCCCAGCAAAAGTTCAGGAGGCGACAAGAAAAATGGAGGCGATGTGCGAAAACGGTGCCAATCATAGGTGAGCTCGTCTCGCCGGTTAGACCAAGCGCAACAATACAAGCTCGCCGCTTTTGCAGCAATAAGCAGATGCTGTGAGAATTTTTTTGTTTCTCCCACGGAGAATGCGCATGCGTCGAACCGCGAAAAGCCACCTCAAACCTGCCTACTACCTCGTCAAAAGCACAATTCCGTTGTCTTATCTCTGAATCGACTCTGCTTCCCGTCTCTCGGCCGGTTCAGAAGCAAGCAAGCAGGCAACTCCCGGCTTGGCCCAATCCCGTTGGACTCTATACAGCTTGCAAACGAGAGGGCTCGTCGATACCGAGGGTTGGGCTTTTTTGCCCACTCGTGTGACTACTTGCTTGCTTCTTGGGGGCAGACAAGGGCGGTGACGAAGGGGGACAGTTGCCTTGTTCTTTATCTACTTCTGAGATTCCCTTATTTTTCTTTTGAAGACACATCACCTCTCCCGAATTTGTTCTCTCCCGCCATGTCTTCTACGGGTGGTGGCGGTCCTTCTGGTGACGGCGGAGAGGATCCATGCACACAGCCTCTACCCCCTCGTCCAGTCAGATTTATCAGTCTAGCAGCGCTAAATCTTTCTCGTGTCTATGAGCAGAACCGGCAACGAATCCAGAAGAAGGATGGGCCCAAGGTGCCAGATCCGACGACGCCCCAGATGAAGGGGAAGCCTCGTCTATTGTTGATGGGGCAAAGAAGGTATGGAATCTTTGTCTGACTGAGCGATGTGGAACTGTGGCTGACCATGCGTTCGTTTCAGGAGTGGGAAATCGTCCATCTCGAGCGTGGTGTTTCACAAGTTGCCAGCGAGCGAGACATTGTTTCTCGAATCAACAGCCAGAATCCAAAAAGATAGTCTCAAGTAAGTCTTTTGGGGCGGCGATCCCTCCTATTGTCAGCCATGCTAACACCTTCAAGCTCCTTCATGGAGTTTCAAGTCTGGGATTTCCCAGGGCAAATCGACATATTTGAAAACCCAGCCTATTCATTTGATATGGACGCCATATTTGGCGAGATCGGAGCTCTAATCTGGGTTATCGACGCTCAAGACGACTACCTCGAAGCGGTAGCCCGGCTCAACATCACCATCCTCCACGTCCAGCGAAGTTACCCGCACATCAACATCGAAGTCTTCATCCACAAAGTCGACGGCCTCAGTGACGACTACAAGCTGGACATTCAGCGCGACGTGACGATACGGATCCAGGACGAGCTGTCCGACCAAGGGATCGAGAACGCCCCGGTCAACTTCCACCTCACGAGCATCTACAATCACAGCATCTTTGAGGCCTTTAGCAAGGTCATCCAGAAGCTGATTCCCCGACTGGGACAGCTAGAAGCAATGCTGACGAACCTCTGCCGGACATGCAGGTTCGAAAAGGCATACCTGTTTGACGTCAACACCAAAATTTACATCGCGACGGACTCCACACCCGAGGACATGGCGAGCTATGAGATTTGCTCCGACTATGTGGACGTCATTATCGACTTTAGCGAGGTGTACGGTAGCTGGCCGCGGACGCAGCAGTGGAGGGACCGGCTGGAGGGGGAGCCGTGGGCGCAGCCGCTTGAGGACCAGGTGGCGTGCGAGTGGGCTGAGAGCGGGATGGTGCTGGCCGACGCGCAGAGGCCCATCATGCTGAGGGAGGTGGACAGGTTCCTGGCGCTGGTGGCGATTATGAAGGAGGGGAGCTACGAGAAGATGCCGCAGATTAACATGAATGTGGACGTGGTGGTAAAGGGGCTGACGGAGTTTTTTGAGATTACGAAGCCGAGGGGAGGGGGGATGGGGATAACGGGGCAAGGGGGACAGGAGGTTGTCAGTCCTGGGGTTCCACCTGCTCTATGAGGGGGAATTTACCCAATAGATGGTGTCCGAAGAAGAAGAAAATTTATATAGCGTGTTCATAATGAGTTGTCTGACAAAGAGTATATGCAATGATGAGCGATGACAAGTCACGCCGTGAGTCCCGTCGGTCTTCTTTTTCCGTGCCCCAAAGCCATAACAACAGGAGAAGGAAAAGAAGCAAAGTATAATTGATAACAAAAGAAACAAAAGGAAAAATAAACCTCTTGAAGAGGCATTAATGTCTGGGGCCACCCGGGGATTGAACCCGGGACCTCTCGCAAGCAATGCTTTAGGGTGAACCCTAAGCGAGAATCATACCACTAGACCAGCGGCCCTTTTGATGACTTGATGGGATTCAGTTGTCATAGTCAGACTTCATAATGTGGAGTGTGTGGCAGGCAGGGTCTGGCGTAGGTCAAATTAGGAGGTTCGTCCCCCAACATTTGTTGAAGACTTTTTGTGGCAGGGAGGTGGCAGGCTTTGTTTTAAAGCCCTCAAGCTCCACTCCTCACACAAGCCTATCAAAGAACAGGAAACGAGAGGAGGGATAGAGAGAATTACTGAGAGACAAAACACATCAAAACAGAAACGGGGCGTGTGGCTCAGTTGGTAGAGCGTTCGCTTAGCATATTTCACAGTTTCCATGGTCGCTTAAAGATCAAAGAACTTGAGTTCTCGAATTATGCGAAAGGTCCTGGGTTCGATTCCCAGCTCGTCCATGAGAACAACTACTCGGTCGGGTCATCCAATCATGACTTGATTCTTTTGTCCTCTTTTTTCTTTTCTTTATGTTGCTGTTGGACTATGGAGTTTTTTGCTGTTGCTCTCTGAGAGTCTGTTGATGGGTGAGGTCTATTATTATCTGAACTATTGCTATCCGAGTCTTGTTACTCTCTGACGTCTGTTGCCCTCTCTTGTCCGTTTGCCTGATGTCTATCGTCTCTGATCTGTTGAGTTGGTTATTCGCTGTGTTTACAGTTTCTCCTTTAATATTTTGATACTATAGAATCGTTTGGATAGATGGGTCAGGTAGGCAGAATGGATCGAATCCTCTCCATCTAGCCAAATCGAAGCTGGGCCAGTTTAAGGTATGTGCCGCATTTGGAGTTCTTATTTGAAGCCCTTTGTAGGAGAAGGAAAGCCAAGGGGTTTTTGAGAAATAAAAGAAGAAATACAAACCCCGGAAAGTCTTCTGGAAAGCCTGCCAAACCTTAACGCAGTGTCCTAGCCCCACACTGCAAAAAAGAAACTGTAAAAAGCTTGTGAAACCAAGGGGTTTATTAATTATTTATTACATCTTGTGTGTCCCAATTCTTCCTGTTGACACTGAAGCCAAGTGCATGCTTCCCTTGAGAATGCGGACGTACTACTTGGGATACAAGCTAAGCAAAAAGTATGTGGCTACAGCTGCTAGGAAGGAAGATCACGAGTGTTTCGTGGTGTTGGTTGGCTCACGACAGAACTTCCCCATCTTGGTGATTTCCGGAGGCGTGGAGAAATCCCGGGGTCACGGGCGCCGGAAATTTGCCATCACTTTCAACGGTGTTCTTGCGGATCATGTTGGCGGTGCCTCGAGCGTCGGACCGGTGTTAACGCGGAGGCAAGGGGCAGATAATGTCAGTTTGACCTAAGTCTGATATCAGTGGCGGCGTCCTGCTTGAGTTGTGGGATTACGACATCGAGGCTTGTTAATTGGGGGAGGGGGGAGCATGTTGGTCCAGGATAAGTTGGCATTCAAGGAATTGTTGGCCCTGATGCAAATATAACGGTGATATCCTTCTCTCACATGTTGTTGCCTGATAGTGAAAGATCCTCTCTCATGTCTACTCAGGGGAATTCGAAAGTATGTCCGACTCTCTTACCAAGTAGCTCCCGTTTGGAGAACCGCCTCGGGAGACAGTGCCAAGGGTTCGATGGACTTGAGGGGCCGGGTCAACAGTTGGTGCTTCATTCAGGCTGTGATAAAGAGTCGGAGAACGAACTGGCAAAGAACCATTCATGGTTCAGTGAAATGTCGATGGTGTAGTCTGTTGACCAGTGAACAATCCGATATTTCAAAGAGCGGCGCTTTGATTTAGTGCTGTCGGCCGACAGGAAAGGTCCCGTCAAGAGGAAATGACATCTGAACTGGCGACTTTAGCGGAGAGCAGCGGAGAAATCAGGGTCCTGCCAGGATGGTGTCACTGCACCGTCCAAACTCTATATCCGTCTCCGGTCATGGTCAGAGAAATCAAGACTCGGTCCTTCCGCGGATGTCTGTTGACTAAACTGGCACAAAGAAATAGGCTACCAACTCGATCCAACCTCAGACGCCTTATATAGGGGCAAATTCCAGGAACCCATCGGCTTATCCCCTGTTGTCTTCTGCTCCTTCCTGTCCGGCTCTGTCTCTGGCTATCTTCAATTTCATGACACCATCATAGCGCCAGGGGCCCTTAGTCCGCCAGATACCAAACCATAATTCCCCTTATCATCCAGGCACCGGAGATATCAGATCCGTCTACTTATTAACCCACTGCCCCCATCCTTTTAGCGCCTCTGCTCCCTTTCCTTGCCCAGGCCAATTACGTCCCGATCTACGTCCCGAGACCCCTCCAACACTCGCACCACCCAGCGTTTGGGATCACCAAGAAAGAGAAACGTCAACATGGCTACACCGGATGAGGTGGGCGCCAAGGAAATGGGGAGGGACACCGGTTCCGGCTCCATCAGCCGGGACGAGGAATTGGGAGAAGTGGCTTTGATGAAGAACAACCAGCTCAAGAAGTCCCTCAAGAACAGGCATCTGCAAATGATCGCCATGGGTATGCCCCCAGCTCGCACAGCTCGCCGATTCCTAGTGGTCTAACAATCTCGTCCTTTTTCAGGTGGTGCTATTGGTGCCGGTCTCTTCATTGGGTCTGGGAAAGCGTTGTCTGCAGGTGGACCAGCTGGTGTGGTGGGTGCTTATATCTTGTCCATGGAGTCAACGCAAGCTAACTTTGTCCCAAGCTGATTTGCTACACCCTCATCGGAGTCATGATGCTGTTTACTTGCCAGGCTCTCGCAGAGCTCTCTGTTGTATATCCTTCCAATGGCGCCTTTTTCGAACACTGTTTGAGATTTCTCGATCCAACATGGCAAGTCCCGCTTTCGTCACACGCGGCACTTCGACAGTCGCTAACTGTCTTGTTTCAGGGGTTTCGCAATTGGCTGGGGCTACGCTCTAACTTGGCTGATCATCCTCCCTTTTGAGCTTATTGCGGCCTCGATCACGATCCAATACTGGAATGAGGACATCAGCATGGGAGTATGGGTGACAGTGTTCCTGGTAACGTTGGCTTGTATCCAAATCTTTGGGGTCCGAGGATATGGTGAAGGTTTGTGTCCCAGTCAGAGTAACAGAAAGGGGCAGGTTTTCTGACACAATGACAGTTGAATGTGTTCTCAGCATCATCAAGGTCATTGCCTGCAGCGGCTTCATCATCCTCGGCATCGTCATCAACTGCGGCGCTGTTGGAGACCAGGGGTACTTGGGCGGCAGATACTGGAGCGATCCTGGCGCGTTCAGGGGTGGATTTGACGGGTTTGCCAGTGTTTTCGTGATCGCTTCCTTTTCTTTTGGCGGCACGGAACTGGCCGGTCTCGCAGCCGCTGAATCGGAGAGGCCTGAGAAGTCGGTACCCAAGGCCTGTAAGCAGGTCTTTTGGCGTATTGCCTTTTTCTACATCCTTAACCTGTTCATCTTGGGCCTGATTTTGCGATCCGACGATCCTCGGCTCCTCGGATCAAACGGTGGCAACAGCAAAGCATCACCGTTTACTTTGGCGATTGAGGATGCTGGAATCAAGGTTCTCCCGCACCTCATGAACGGCGTCATCACCATCGCTGTCATCAGCGTCGCCAACTCGTCCACGTTTGGTTTCACCCGGACTGTCCAGGCTATGGCTCAAGTCGGCATGGCACCCAAGTACCTGGCCAGAATTGATAAGCAGGGCCGGCCTATGCGGTGCACCGTTGTGCTTATCCTGTTTGCTCTGCTTGCCTATATCGGATTGGCACCAAACGACGCTGGTATGAAGCTATTCGACTGGCTTCTCGCTGTCACCGGGGTGACTTATTTCTTCATTTGGGGTTCGATTTGCCTTGCGCACATTCGCTTCCGGAAAGCCATGAAGGTCCAGGGGCTTTCGCTTGACCTGATTCCATATAAGCCGTCAAGTGGTGTCTGGGGCAGCTGGGTTGCCCTCATTTTCAACGGCCTCTGCCTCGTGGCTGCCTTTTATGTTTGCACCAAGGTATGTTATCCCGTCTTATTGTCAGCCAGATGGCATCAGAATGAGTTTGCTGACTTTCTTGATGACTAGCCCCCCAAGCCCGACTCAACTTCAGCGGAAACAGCTGAAAGCTTCTTCCAGGGCTATCTGGCCGCACCGGTCATGCTTCTGCTTTGGCTTGTATGGAAGGTGCGGACCGGGAACTGGAGGCTGCAGACACCTCTGCAGGAGATTGATCTGATGACTGACGCCAAATTCATTAACCCGGCCGACGTGCAGCATGAATCCCAGGAGAAGATGTCGTTGCCTAAGCGCATCTGGGAGACGCTTTTTAACCCGTCAAACATCTTGTCATGATGTTCGGACCTTGCTGGTGGGTGTTTGGTAAAGACGGTAAATTTTGTAACGACTGTGCGGCGGGCGTTGGGTATATAGCGTGTTTTTGTGTTGGCATGTTGGCTTGTTTGGATCATGACTTGATACCATGTTTGCACGAAGATAGATGTCTTGTGAGGGATTCGCATATGGCATGAATCTGGGCGATACTTAATCTGAAGGTGAGATGTAGTTTACTTTCTTGGGGAATCGGGATGAGTCTATAGAATAATGATGTATGACGAATGCTAGCACTTCCTGATGAGGACCAAGTACCAATCTAACGAAGGACTACATGGCCATAATGAAGTCGTCAGTCTGATAGAATATCAGGCCGCGAGAGATGGTTTGCTGCCTGAAGTCAGTTGCCGTTGTTGTTGTTGTTGTTGTGGTGGTGGTGAGGTGGTCGTTTATGTGGCTCCCTGAGTGGCCCCCTGAACTGGGGTCTGGGGAAATGCCAAGCCATCCCTTGCCAGCTGGCTCCACCTGAAGTGTCTGTGTGCAGAGAGGTCCATGTGTAAGCACTGGCCTGCCTGACATTGTGCGTCTTTCAGCGGTACCTGGATGAGCAGCAAAGACAACCTCAAATTCAGCCTCTGTCCGGCCGCGACGTTTGTCGTCATCCTTGAAGATCACAAAAGATACAAAAGACCAAATAAACCCGCTATCTGCAGTAAAACCGATGACTTTCCCGGCCATGCGGCACGCAACGTAGGCAGCACCCCTCCTCCGCGAACCGAATTCCCATAGATGCCCTGAAAGTCGCTTGCCAACACCTGCTCCGCCCAAGTCCACCCCCTCCCCCCCGCGAACCAGTCACTCCCCGTTTCCGTTCGCCGTCTCCCGTATCCAGCTGTTCCCTCCCCTCACCGCCCCGAACGTCGACCGCCCCCTTTTTCCAGGTCTCAATCACCCGGACCCGTACTCCCCGATTCCTCACAACTCACCGAACAAGCTGTCATCGGAGGATTCACGGTCATGGCTTCGTACGGCCAGGCGGCGGTGTCGGCAGCGGCGCGGCCCGCAGTACCTTACGGGGCACCTATGTCAGGGAGCGTCCCCGGCGCTCCGGCGGGCACCTTTTCTCC